CCACTGAGTTTATCCTGAATCCTAATGACCCATGTGACAGAGCAAAATTGTTCCACAGGGTTTTCTTGACTGCAATCTTTATGAAAGGAGATGACTAACGTTTTTCTCTTTCTGAAGAGTCACTTGATGGACTTAAGCTGCCAACCTTTCTATAGCAGTTAAAAACTTACCCATTGGCACCACCAGTGTTTCTTCATGAGTCATTAAGGATGCCAAATCAAACCCATTGCCATGAAGTCAATTCCAACTCGTCACAACCCAACAGTACAGAGTAGAATTGCTCCATAGGGTTTCTGATGCTGTAAACCTTTATGGGAGCAGACAGCCTCATCTTTTTCTTATGGAGTGGCTGCTTAACCCATCAGAGACCACCAGAGCTCCTCTTCATTAGTCATTACAGAGATGCAAAGCAAAATTTCAATACGTTAATACCTCATTCTCATTGAAATGCCAATGACCAGAAAAACAGAAACAAGTATTGATGATGTTTTGGAGAAACTAGAATCTTTATCTAATGATAGTGAGAATATAAAATGCTAAAGCCCCTATAAAGAAAACTTAATCCAGGTAGCAGATGGGCATTGGGCCTCCACTCAAGTACTCCCTCAATGTAAGAACACTTTGTTCTATTAAACTGGTGTTCCATGATGCTCACCTTCCCCACATGATCACTGAAGACAAAGCGGGTGCATAAGCAAATGTAGTGAGAAAGCTGGTGGTGCCAGCTATCAAAAGATATAGCACCTGGGGTCTTAAAGGCTTGAAGATAAACAAGCGGCCATCTAGCTCAGAAGCATCAAAGCCCACATGGAAGAAGCACACCAGCCTGTGTGATCACGAGATGTCGGTGGGATCAGGTATCAGGCATCAAAAAACAAAAAATCATATAATTGTGAATGAGGGGGAGTGCAGATTGGGGACCCAAAGCCCATCTGTAGGCAACTGGACATCCCCTTACAGAAGGGTCGTGGGGAGGAGATGAGCCAGTCAGGGTACAGTGAAGTAACAATGAAACACACAACTCCTCTAGTTCTTAAATGCTTCCCCACCCCACTATCATGATCCCAATTCTATCTTACAAATCAGGCTAGATCAGAGGATGTACACTGGTACAGATAGGAACTGGAAACACAGGGAATCCAAGGCAGATGAACCCCTCAGGACCAGTGGTGAGAGTGGTGATACCAGGAGGGTGGAGGGAAGGTGGGATAGAAAGGGGGAACTGATTACAAGGATCTACATGTGACCTCCTCCCTGGGGGATGGACAACAGAAAAGTGGGTGAAGGGAGATATCGGACAGTGTAAGACATGACAACATAATAATAATTTATACATTTTCAAGGGTTCATGAGGGATGGCGGACAGGGAGAGAGGGGGAAAAAATGAGGAGCTAATACCAAGGGCTCCAGTAGAAAGCAATTGTTTTGAGAATGATGAGGGCAACAAATGTATAAATGTGCTTGACGCAATGGATGGATGTATGGATTGTGATGAGTTGTATGAGCCTCCAATAAAATGATTAGAAAAAGAAAAGAAAACTTAATTCTATGTATATACTCATAAGTAAAAGCAGGAAGGAAACCCAGACACGTGTACACAAAATGATTGTTATAGCACTTTTAAAAAATTAGTCAAACAATGGAAATAACCAACATGTCCAGCAGATAACTGGACAAAGAATATATGACAGGTGTATGTGTGTGTACACAATGGAATAGTATTCAGTCATAAAGATAAATAATATGTTGAAGAAAGCCAAAACATGGAATAACATAAAAAACATCATGCTGATATAGATCCCACCACAGCGCACCAACCATGAAGGCAACGTAACCACGAGGAGGAACGCATAAAAAGATTGGCTACAGGGCCAGCTCCAACCAGAGCCAAACTGACCCCTCCCCAGAAGTACTTGCCACAAAGAACAACACTAAATCCACAGGTTGGGGTGAGGGGCCAGCATATCACAGCCACACAGAAGCAAACTAAGGAGGAAAAAGAGAAAGGGACGGTTGGTGTAGACCCCGTATCGGCACACCAAGCCCGGAGGATGACGTCCCTGCATGGAACTGCTAGGGCGCAGAGAGGACTGTAGATCGTCAACAGCTCATGACATGTTGTCCCTTTACTGGAGCATACTGCGGACAGAGGAAAATACTGGGGACACACAGTAGGGAGGAAGTGCTGTTTGAACCCCTTGCAGTGGGGCAAACCAAGAAAGGAAGATAACAGATCAGCAATGGGAGCAAAGCCAAGCCACAAAGCCCCTAAAGGGCCTCCCCAAATAGACTTCAGGCTAGGAGGGGCAGCTCCCAGAATTCTCCCAGGATCAGTGGAGAGAGAGTCATAAAGGTCAGCAGACAGACCTAGAATTGGGAATAGTGATAACAGATAGGTAAGAAGGAGGTGGGGGGGAGTAGGGGAGGAAGGGTGAACTGATTATAGAATGATGTATGTTTTTTTTCTTTTCTTTTTTTTAATCGTTTGTTTTCTATTTGTTTGGTCTATGCTAATGTTGGTATGCCTACTTACATAAGACAGGCATGGAAAGCAAGTTCAAGGAGAAAGTAACTGGACCAACAGTCCTGCAGGGACTGGTGGGGGTAAGGGGGAGGGGGAAGGGTGTGGTGGGCAAACAATGTCATTGACAGGGGAACAACTAGGGAACAAAAACGACGAGGAGGATATAGAGATCCTGGAGGTGCTGGCACAACAGCAATCTAGTTGAGAGGAAGTATGTGGCAGAAGTACAGCGAGCGTGATGGTGGGTCAGAAGGAAACAGAGGAATGACCTAGGAAGCAAAACTATGGAAAGGTATAAGCATAGGTGTGTCTATATGTAAATACATTAATCCATGAAAATAGAGGTATTGGCCTATGTATATATATTTACATGCCAATACACTGAGGATGAAATTCGCGCCTCTGCTCATACCCTCCCGCAATACAAGAACACTTTGTTCTAACAAATCGGCAATCTGCGAGGCTCACCCTCCTGGCACAATCACTGAAGACAAAATGGGTGCATAAGCAAATGTGGTGAAGAAGGTGGATGGTGCCTGGCTATTAAAAGATACAGCATCTGGGGTCTTAAAAGACTTAAAGTGAAATAAGCAGCCATCCAGCAGAGAAACAAGCCCACATGGAAGAAGCACACCAGCCTGTGTGATCATGAGGTGTCATTGGGACCAGGTAATAGGCATCAGAAGACCCTTAACAAACAAACCGAACCATATGGTTAAGAAAGAGGGGGGTCAGAATAGAGACCCAAAAGACATCTGTAGACAATGGAACATCTTCCACATAGGGGTCACAGGGAAGAGATGAATCAACCGGGGCACAGTAAAGCACCCGAAACATACAATATTCCTCTGGTTCCTTGAGGCTTCCTCACCCCCCCACTACCATAACCCCAGTGATGCCTCTCACTTCGGACTAGACTGGAGCATGTACACAGGTGTAGATAAGAGATGAGATCACTACACATGCAATCCAGGAGCAGGACTGGGAATAGTGATAACAGATGGGTAAGAAGAAGGTGGGGACGAGTAGGGGAGGAAGGGTGAATTGATTATAGTGATTGACACACAACTACACACCCACCTTCAGGGGGAAGAACAACAGAAACCATGGGGGAAGGGAGATAGTGGTCGTTATGAGGTATGAAAATAATAATAGTTCATAATCTATCAAGGGGTCATGGAGGGGGGAGGGGAAAAAGAGGAGATGACACCAAAGGCTCAATAGGAAGTAATTGTCTAGAAAAGAATGATGGCAACATATGTACAAATATGC